TTTTGTCTCCTGAGAAAGGCCACCACCACAGCTAGCATTTTCGAGAAAACTTGCAGGGCTGTGGAGAGGCCAAAAGGGAGGATTTCGGATTGGTAGTAATCGTGACCTACCACAAATCTGAGAAATCTCCTGTGTGCAGGATGAATGGTTATATGAAAATATGCATCTGAAGTTCGAGGGCTGAAAACCAGACCCCTTTGTCCTGTCTCCTGAGAAAGGCCACCACCACAGCTAGCATTTTCGAGAAAACTTGCAGGGCTGTGGAGAGGCCAAAAGGGAGGATTTCGGATTGGTAGTAATCGTGACCTACCACAAATCTGAGAAATCTCCTGTGTGCAGGATGAATGGTTATATGAAAATATGCATCTGAAGTTCGAGGGCTGAAAACCAGACCCCTTTGTCCAATGAGGGTATATTAGTTGAAAGATTCACCATTTTGAATTTTTTGTTGAGCAGGAGCTTGTTGAATTTCCTGAGATCCAAGATTGGCCTCCAGTCCCGTTTTCTTGGCTCTTATGAAATAATTAGAATAGAACACTTTTCCCTGATGTTCTGTGGGAACTGGTTCTATTGCCCCTAGGGTGAGGAGCTTTTGTACTTCTGCTTGTAACAGGAGCTCGTGAGATGGGTTCCTGAAGAGGGACGGGGTAGGAGGCTAGGTAGGGGGAGAAGATGTAAAGGGATTATGTAGCCCGATTTTATAATCTCCAGAACCCACTTGTCAGTAGTAATGTGGGCCCATTCTTGGTAGAAGGGTCTCAGGCGGTAATAGAAGGTGGGTGATATTTCAAATCTGCTGTTTGTGAGAAGTCGACTGAGTGTTAGAGGACTGATTATGCTGAGTCCTCCTTCTGTTGAAGCTTTGCTTGGGCCTGTTGTCATATGGTCTCTGCTGTTGTCTATAGTAGTTATAGTCTCTTGGCTTTTGCTAGGGGATGTATTTCTGTCTTTTGTTAAGTGGAGTGTGCATCCCCAAAGTGTGAAGTGTGGTACAAGAGTCCTTCATTGACTGTAGAACCTTATCTTTCTTTGGGGCAAACAGTTGGTTTCTATCAAAGGGGAGGTCTTCCACCTTAGATTGTAATTCTTTTGGGATTCCTGATGACTGTAGCCATGAGGCTCTGTGAATTATTATTGCAGTAGCTGTGATCCTAGCTACTGTGTCTGCCACATCCATTGCAGCCTGGATGACAATTTTTTCTATGGATTGGCCCTCCTTGATAATGGACTGGAGATGTGGTCTCTTATTCTCAGGAAGATTGTGTACCAGATCCTGCAGTCTGGTGTAGTTGGCATGGTCGTAATTAGCCAGGAGGGCTGTGTAATTTGAGATCCTAAACTGGACAGTGGTGGAGGAATATATTTTCCAGGCGAAGATATCTAGCTGTTTGTGTTCTTTGTCCCATGGTATAAATTTAAAATGGGGGGTGTTTGGATTTGTGATTAACCGAGTCTACGACGAGTGAATTTGGTTGGGGATGTGAGAAGAAGGAAGTCCATGCCTTTTGCTGGGACAAAATATTTTCCATCTGCCCTACAACTGGTTGGGGGGATAGAGGCTAGAGTTTGCCAAAGCACACAAGATAGCTTCATTAATTACCATCTTCAAGGATGTCGTCAGTTGCAGTGTCGTAAGTAATCAATAGTTTGTCTTGCACCTCTAGAAGTACAATGTCTTGCGATTGAGCCACTCATTTAAACAATTCCTGGAATTGTTTTAGGTCATCTGCCAGTGGAGAGGGTGATACCTGGAAAACTGCGTCATCTGATTTAGTGGATCTGGGAGTGTGTGAGGAGCTCTCCAAGTCAGAGTGAGGTAAGTTATCATCAATTGCTGAGTCAGCTTGTGTTATCACTGAGGGTGGGTGAAGTGGCAAAGAATGCATGGTTGTAGCCGGGAAGCATATTGTAGTGTGTTGTGGCATGGCAGGTGATGTATCTCTTGGGCAGTAGGTATGGAAGGAGCGCAGTCAATACCCATGCCATGGTTCCCAAGAAGGCCACTAAGGCTGAAAATGTTGTGAAGGATACATCCATGGCTGATTAAGCCACGGAAAGTGTGGTGATTGTTAAAGAGAGTGATCTTGGAATGAATGCCAGGAAGCCATTGATCCCGATGAGGATGAACTGCACGATTAGAATCTGCTCCATTGACGACTACCCTTGTCAGTTTGTGATGACAGCGGCATAGGAGAGTGGGGAGTCCCCTCCCCGTGCAAGCTAGAATGAGACAAAACTTGGGAGCGTGGTGAACAGGCTACTTGTATTAGTGGTGTACCCGGCTGTGGAGATTTCTATAAATGTGTGTCTTTTGAGATGCGTTCTTGTGCTCTGGCGCCTGGGCACGTTTGGGTTCCAACCACAAAGAAGCAGCTTGTTCAGGAGATGTGGAGGTACCTGTGGGTGCCGGCAGTCATGGCACGTGAAGCTTTGTGGGCACCGTTGAATTAGTGGCACCAGCTCTCACTCAGCTCTCCTGGCTAATGTTATTTTGCGTTTCTCCACAGTGCCGGAGACTGACAGCACTGGGGAACGGGAGGTTTGGGGCAGTGCAGGCAGAGATCATGCCTGGGAAGCCCGTGAAACTTGAAAGCCTCTACAGGGCAGTGAGCCAGCCCTGTCAATGGGCTTAGGCTGCCCCCATGTCTCCTCTGACTTATCCCCCAAAGGCTAGAAGGATTTCTCCCAAAGGAGGTTTTTGAGTTGCATTTTGCCATATTTTCTAGCCATCACTGTCATATTCAGACTATGCAGGCACTTATGTGCAGCATGAGTTTCTCCGAGGCATTTCATGCAGGATGTGTGTCTGACACAGGCATTGAGTCCCAGCATGAGTCGCATTTCTTAAAGCTGGGAGAGCCCATCATGTTGAGAAAGGAAAAAAAGCCATCATGGCAGAGGAGTTTTTTAAGCTGAAGTAAACATTGAAAACTGTTATTAACTGACTAAAACTATGAACTATTTTAAACTAATTCTAGTATTTGTTTGTTTCCTGTCAGAAAAAGGAGAGCACTGCTAGACTCCGGCTTCAGCCAAGGATGGTAGAAAAGGAAGAGAGAGATTCGCGTCACGTGCGCACCCAACAAGCAACAACAGCATGAGACACAGAGTGCACAGGTGCGGCATGAGGGGCACTGCTGAGCAAAAATCTCAGTCAGTGGGATGCACCGAGACCCTGAGAGAAGCACCCACAGGGACACCACTCAATGGAGAAGCAGATGTTTGAATATTAATGAGAAATTAAAAAAAGCAGCCTTCAGTTACATATAAAGAAGTTTAAACTAGTGAGTTTAAACTGACGGCCCTCAATGACAACAGATTTTTCGAATTACTATTCTACTGCTGCATATAGTACGTGTACTGAAGTAATGGAGTTAATAACATCTCACCAAAAAAAATCCCCACCAAAAAAAAACAAACCATCACCATACCTTTGGAAGCTCCTCAATCTGATTTGCATCTAAATAGAGTTCTTCCAAGGTCTTTTCAAAGGTAAATATCTCTTTCGGCACTTGCTCTAGGCTGCAGTGAGAATAATCAAGTACAGTGACTGTTTCTTCTTCTCCACGCAGACAGCGGCATGGCACCAACCGAACAAACAAGTTGCGTTTTGTTGTCATTTTCAGGCACTGTAAACAAAAAGAGGATTCTGAAATATCTTTAAACTTTTTTAGGAAATTATTTTTTTTTACTTCAACAGCTTGTAGAATATTAATAAAATCAAATTTTGATTCAATATATGGAAATCATGTTTAGAGTTTAGAATTTTTGTATTTTAAGGATTGCAGAACCCCTGCAACTTCCATTGAAGGAAAAGGATACTATGGCTGCTTAGAAGGTGGGATGGAGGGGAACCCAGGCTCTAAATTTTAAATTGCTTTTAAGAGAAAAACATCATACAACTAATACCTCTGCTTTTACTGCAAAGTTGCACTCTCACAGGAGCATTATGTTTAAGCTCCTAGAAAATTAAGCAGACACTTCTTAAAAGCCATCTCCCCACAAGCACCCAGCACCAGCTCATGTATGCATCTGAGGCAGTAGCAAAGGGGGCAGGCAGCTCCATGAGAGCTGCTACTTGTGGGGAGCTGGCTTGAAAGCTGGCTCCCCGCATGAAATAGCTCCTGTTTGCCCCGCCCTGCATTGCTCCCTCTGTATCAGAGGCAGTTGCAGCAGGGGAAAGGAGTGGGAAGGAGAGGTGGCTTTACAGGAGCCAGCACACGGGGGGAGTTATTTTAAAAGCTGTCTCCCCATGCACACCGGTTTCCGCCTCCTTCCTCCTGCTGCTTCTGATACAGAGGCAGCTGGGGGGAAAAGGGGCTGCAAAAGGTACTGAGATTAAGACATACACCTGTTGGAATGACAAGGTGACCTTGAGGTCCCTTCCTGAGGTACACTTCTATGATTCTACACCCTTATTCAAAGGCTTCAGAAGGGAGGCCAAGTTAGTCTGTAACTGGAAAAACTTAAAAAACAACATACAGTCTAGTAGCACCTTAAAGCTTAACAAAACATGTAGACAATATCATGACCTTTCGTGGGTACAGCCCACTTCTGCAAATGAAACCTTATTCAAAAGTAAGATATAGATAATGAACTGGTGTGGGCTCTGTAAATTAATCCAACTATAAACATGACTGCCACTAAAAACTGCACTTTAAAGAAACACTTTTTTAAAAGGCTCTGAGATACAGGAATTCTGATCATTCTCTACAATTCCATTTGCAGTTTGGAAAACTTTCACACACATATTTTGAAAAAAAAATTAAACATTTTTCTATTTCTTAAAAATAAATAGTCAACATTCCAGACAAAATATTTTGATGGAAAACAATAAACCCAATGTTTTTCTTGGAGATGCAAAGGATAATTGTAATCTATGACCAACCTTCGAATTTATTCAGTTACAAATTTGATTCTGTGAACATCTAGTCTGCTACATATTCCAAATTACACTCGACTCATCTGCAACCCATTTTGTGAGGATGCCTTACCTTGCAAATTTTATTTAACTCATGGATGAGCGTTACTGCTATTATAATGTCTGATTTTCCAGCTAACACAAAAGGAGAGAAAAGTGGACTTTTGTAGGTGGCAGGCTGTCAGAGTTCCTTACTGAATAATTAATATTACTACTGGAGTTTTGTGGTATTAAAATAGGGGTTTGGCAAGTCATCTTGTTAGTTAAATTTAAAAAAAAAAGTGCACAGGGGTTGGAACACAGTAAAAATCCATTTATTCAATGTTATTGATGACATCATAGCAGAATTTTCAAATACCTTTTTTATCCATTGCTAGCTTCAAACACACAGCAGGTGACCTTCAGTAATCTACTGCTCATCATCTACCAATTTCCTTGCTAGTTACCCCCTACAACGACGACTCACCATCATTCCTTCCCTAATTTTCTTGAGGTTATTTCCATTTATATGTCTCATGTGACTAAACTACACCAGTTGACTTCTAATATCTAATCTAATAATCCCCCCCAAAAAAAAAAAAAAAATCAGGAGAGTTTAGACCCAGGAGAGATGCAAGAACCTTCGCTGCCACTACCAATTCTCAAAAGTTTCAATTTTCATCTTGTCAGCCGCATTTATTTTCCACAATTCGCATCCATAAGTCATTATGGGGACAACTAAGCTTTTCACCACTCAAAGATGGTGAAAAAGATGCCGTATTTATTCCAAACTTTTTAAAGAAATCCATTCCTAACCTTCTTTGAATTTCTTTGCAACAGCTTTGTTGGTCAGTGATGTAGGACCCCAGATAACTATTTCAGCAAGCTGACTATTAATCACAGGGGTGGGTTCTCAGAAATTTTTGAAGTGGGCCCCAGGCTGCCCCGGAAGGGGTGGGGCCTCAGGTGGAAAGGCAGGGGGAGGATACTTTCATGCTTCCCCACCCACAGACCCTGCTTGATCTCTGGGTAGGAGACTGCGTGAAGTCTTTGCCCCCCACCCGTTGAGATCGGGAGAAATCCCGGATGACTGGAAAAAGGCAAATGTAGTGCCCATCTTCAAAAAAGGGAAGAAGGATGATCCAGGGAACTATAGGCCGGTCAGTCTTACCTCGGTTCCTGGAAAAATCATGGAAGGGATCCTTAAGGAATTCATACTGAGGCACTTGGATGAGAGGAAAGTGATTAGGAATAGTCAGCATGGATTCACAAAGGGCAAGTCATGCCTGACCAATCTGATTAGCTTCTATGATGAGGTAACTGGCTC